TGGTTGCTGCTGCTGCATGTGCCCGGTCGGCTTCGGTGAAATGTCCTCCTCGGATGAGAACTTGTGGAGCACGTTGGTCAGGTTGAAGGCGGCGGAGCTCATCCCCCCGCCGCCCGCACCGGCGCCGCCCTTCTCGTCGTCGTATCGGTGGCGCATCTTGTTGGTGACGGTCACTGCCTTCTGGCACTGCGCGCCGCCCATGACCCTCGCCACGGCGGCGGTGTGCTCCTCGGGCTCCGGGGTGCCGAGCGCGCCGGACGGGCCGGTCGCGTCCTGGATCAGCAGCCTGGGCGGCCTGACGGGCGGACCTTGCTCGGGCGTGGCCCCGTAGGGCGGCGGCGGGGACGAGTCGGGCGTGGACATGGCCTGACTAAGCGCCACGGTGGGCGTCACGCTGGGCGTGACACCGGGCGTAACGACGGGCGTGACACCGGCGGACGGCAGCCCGAACACAGACTGACGGACCGTGACCCCGGCGCTGAACGTGGGGATAGGCGGCGCGTTCAGGCTGGGCGACTCGTAGCCGCCGAAGTCGGCGTCCCGGAGCGTGCTGAGGACCAGCTTGTTGTCCGTGGGCGGCAGCGACAGGTCCTCAGAGTCAGAGTCGTAGCTGTGCTGGTGGTGCCAGTGGAGGTCGGCCGTCGGGACGTACTGATTCGACTTGCTGTGCACCAGCCCATGGCCGAAGCCGGGCCGCGTGCTGAACTCGCCGTGCACGAAGGAGTTGTGAGGAGGAAGCGCAGGGTGCACGACGGGGGGCAGCGCGGGGGCCTGTTTGGCGGAGAAGGTCTGCGTGCGCGACTGTACCGTGCCGGTGGAGGGCGCGGGGATGAAGGCCCTGGGCGGCGGCTGCGGCGGCTGCGGGTACTGCCTGCCCAACCCCGTCGCGATGCGGTCCTGGCTCTGGCTGCGCATCACGGGCATCAGCTGCGGGGACGTCTCTCGCGAGGACATCGACTCGAATTTGGCGAGAGTGGAGGTCAGGTGGTGGCTGTGGCCGAGGTCCTTCTTCCAGGGCAGTGTCGGGCTGAGTGGGGACGCCGCATGCTCGGGCGGCGGCAGCTGGTGCTGAGGTTGCGGCTGCAGGTGGTGCGGGTGCACGGGCTTGGGGGCGTGCACCACGGCCGGCTTCTCCGGCGGGGGCGCGGGCGGGGGTACAGGCTGCTCGAACTTCTGTGCGGCGAGCTGCTTGACGCTGCCCGTCGTGGCGGGTGGCGTGGCCCAGGGGGCGGACGGGGTAGGTTTGGACTTCTCGATGGGTTTGAAGGCCGACATCGGCGCGTGGAAGAACTTGTTGACTGGTCCGTTAGGAGCATTGGTCACCTGCTGATGCTGCTTCTGCTGCTGCTGTTGGTGGTGGTGCTGCTGCCGGTTGTTGGCGGCCACAGTCAGGGACCCGACCACCACCCCCGGGTCGTCGGGCTGCTCGGCGGCCGCCCACGGCAGCTTGTTGGCGGGCTGGCCCGGCTGCCCCTGCTCGTGCAGCTGCTTGAGGAAGGCGCTGGCCTGCTTGGACAGCCGGGGCTCGTGCGGGGCGCCGTTGGCGCGGCCGCCACGTCCGCGGCTCTTCAGGAGGGCGGCCGAGTCGTCGGCCGTCTGCCAGAAGGAGCGCGCGCCGCCCTGCCGCGCTGCATTGCGGTCGCTGTTGATCCGGTTGAGCTGCTGCTCCCGGCTGCTGTGACTCGCATTGTTCTCGAAGGCGGTCTTGATGTTGGAGAAGCGGTTGTTCCACTGGTGGCTCGGCCCGTGCCCGCCAAGCGGGCTGGCGCTGCCGTTGTGGTCGTCGGCGCCGGACCAGAGAGACCCACCCGTGCCCCCTTTCTTGCCACCCTGCTGCTCCAGGAACGCGAGGAACTTGCGGTCGTTCTCCGTCTTGGGCGCCTGGACAGCCGCCGGCGGCTGCTGCTGCTGGCCCTTTTGAGCGTCCGGCGTGACTCGGATGGGCCCCCTGAGCGCGAGGTAGGCGGCCCGCTTGTCGTTGCTCGACGCGCTGTCGTGCGCGGAATGGAATGCCTCGTCGCCCGACGTCACCTCTCCGTCAGTGTCCTCCTCCACCTGGTAGTAATTGAGCGGCTTGGGAATGTCGATCGTGTTGGCGCGTTTCATCTTCTGCTTCTTGGAGCTGCGGTTTGAGAAGCGGCTTCCGGCGACCTTACTATTTTGCTCGTTGTTGGTGGCCATCTTGAGCAGCCGTTGTGCAGATGAGACGGCACTCTCGTCGCCCTGGAGCGTGTCGGACGTATCTGAAGCGTTGGACTGTGTTTCTACTCGGTCCAACTCCTGCCTGTTGGGCACAACTCGCGTATCCACGTTCGTCCACTGCTTGTTTATCTTCGTCTCTTGCTGGTCCTGATGGTAGACGGCCTTGTCTTCGATATAAACAGGGTTCTGAACCATCACTGTGTTCGGCGCCTGTATAGCACTTTTCAGATCAGGTGCTGCCCGTGGCTCAATATTCGTATTTTGAATTTTTCCGATAATACTTTCGGTTGGCTGAACAGTAAAAGTCTGGTTACGTAACACACCCGGGGGCGGCTCCCTTGTATCACTAGGCTTAATGCCCTTGTTTGATTGATTATGCGGTTTTACGTTGTCTGCCTCGTCGTCGTCCTCCACGTCATAGTAGTCCTCCTCAGTCTCCTCGTCCACGGACTCGGTCACGTCGCTCTCCTCGCTTGTATCCGCCTTGTCCGGCTTACTGGACCTGCGCTGCTCCTCAACAGAGAGCTGTTTATTGATGGCTGCCTTGTGTACGGCTATCTGCACCGACTGCGCGGCCGTGAAGAGCTTCTTGCTAGGGTCGTAGTCCTTGCTAGCGATGTCCGTGTTCGCCACCAGGTTGGCATTTTTATCCAGCACCTTGCTTACTGCCTCGGGCTTGCCCGCAGCAACTGCCACAAAAGCGTCCTCATCCTCCTCATCGATGTCCTCGTCCTCTTCGTCGTCCTCCTCCTCGTCGTCGTCCTCGTTCGACTGCGACCCTATGGACGAGTAAGACGACTGCGGGGTCTTTTTGAGAGCGGCAGCCTGCCGACGGCTCACACTACTCTGCGACGAGCTCTTGCTCCGCGTCGATCGCACATCGTCCTGGACGGACTCGGAATGCGCAAGGGACGACCCGGACGCGGAGGCCGAGGCAGGCACCGACGCGTTGGGCGGTGTGGATGCAGCCGAGCTGGAGAATTTCTTGGGAATAAAATGCGTCGGCCTGAACGCGCGGAAGGTGGAGGCCGAGAGGGAGCAGGCCGGAACGTCGCCAGCCGAGCTCTGCTTCTGCAGCTGATATGGCGAGCGCGCCCGGGTAAGCGGCAGTGACACAACTATCGGGGCAGGGAGGACGTCGTCGTCAGCCTCGGCCGGCTGAAGAGATTCTACCGGTCCGTCCTGCTGCGGCTGGGCCTTCACCTGCGCGGCCTTTGCCTGGGCGGCCTGGGCCTCCTCGAGGAAGCGGCGCGCGTCGGCGAGCTCTTCTTGGCTCACGCCCACCGTGTGCCTGTTCTGCCTCCCGCGCTTGCCGAACCTGCGCGGCGGCACGGCGGGCGCCTGCGGGGCCTGGACAGCGGCGGGCGGGGGTGGCGCGGGCTGCTGCGCGCCCAACGAGCTCTTGAGGCGGTTTACCAGTTGTAAGAGCGACTCCTGGCGCGAGGTGTCGACCTTCTCGCCACCCACGACGCCGAGCAGCAGAGACGCCTCGAGGCGAGACAGCGCCGACTGCACGTCGTCCAGGAGGCCGTCTTGCCCGAGGCCCTGCAAGCCCTGTGGCCCGTGTCCGGGGGCGGGTCCGGGGCCAGGTCCGGGGCCGTGTGGTTGCGACGGCGCGGAGAGCTGCGCCGACGACTCTTGTCGGTGGAGTTCGATCGAGTCTCGGAGTCCCGCGGCGAGGAAGCGCAGGTCCTCACCCGACTCGGTGCCAGAGTCCTCGATGGCGTGTCCCGAAGACGACACCGGCAGGTGGTTGCGAGGCCGTGCTTGTTGTTGCTGCCGCAGCTCTTGTTGCTGCTGCAGTTGAAGTTGCTGCTGTTGCTGTAGAGATGATCGCAAGTGTTCGACTAGGTAGGGCAGCAGGAGAGACTCACCGTGTACAGAGGACGCTGAAGAAGTGTCCCCGTCGACTGATCGGCTCTCGTCGGTGGCCGAGCGTTGTGCGGCGGCCACGACGCCCTCACAGGCTGCGAACATGAACCCACAAGTGGCGTTACACCGGCCCAGGCCTAGACCAGCCCCTCTCACCACCTCCCCTCCCCGACACAGTAGGCTACCACTCGGCCGTCACAGCCGTACCAGGAGCGGCCGCACTGTCACACACGTTACCTTTCTGTTCAGCCATGACTGTGCGGAGGCGGGCTCGGATCTTGCGGCGACCCTCGTAGTCCGAGCAGACGTCCAACTATTGGCAGGCCAGGCAGGGCACGCACGGCAGGCACAAACACAAGCAAGACGATCAGCACCGACAAGCAACAACAACAACAACATCATTCATGACCGAAAGGGGTGCGCAGTCTGGCGTCCCGGGCGGGCGTCCCAACCAAAAGTGCAAGAGAGATAAGAATCCGGAACTTTTCGGCGAACCTCCTCTATTTCTGTCTCTCTCGCACTCGAGGCTCGGCGGCCCTGCGGCAGCACGCCACGAGTCGCGCCCGGCAGCGCACGCTCCTCACGCGAGGCCGGGCCGGGTTCCTTTTACGACTCGCCCCATCACAAGCAAGCAAGAAATCCCGGAATAACGAACAGTTATATGGTCTGGCCTACTGCAGAAATAACGAAACGGAGTTTCAGAGGTGTTTTAGAGGGTCAGAGGGCTTCAGTTTGGACAAAAACCTTAACCATCCGTTATCGGGGCGGGGCCTCTAGCTGCTTAGAGCTCGGCCGCTCAGCTGCCAAGGGCGGCCCGACGAGGACGAGGCCTCAGGGCGCTGACAGCAGCCTGCCGTCTACAAAGCCGCCCCGCCGGGCCGAGGCACGCCGCGCGCGCCACTGGCATCCAGCAGCGCCGCCGTAGCAAGGCCGGCCCAGCGCCCAGCCCGGCACAGGCGCGCAGGGGCAAGGTAGGCCCCCCGCCTCGGAGCGGCGCGCGAGCGGGCCGGCCGCTGCCTACCCAGCCGGGGGCTCCCGGCGGGCGGCGGGCTGCACCCCGAGCTGCAGCGGCAGCCACGTGGAGAGGACCGAAGGCAAGGCGCCAGCGCGACCAACTGTTAAGGAGTGAACGACCCACCCCACGGAACAGGCGCGAGCATGAGAGGAGGGTGCCAAGAGCCCGCCCGCCAAGAGGTTAAGTCAAGGTGGATGAGGGGGCGGGGAGGGGGGGGGGGGGCGGCGCGGACGATTAACGCGGTTTTAATTTCGGTGCCAGGTGCACAAAATGCAGTCGTTTCCGTCTACACTGACGCAAGTCCCGTACGGGAGAGCCAGTAAGCGCGAGGAGTCGTGCGAATAGGGTCTCGTCTCTGAGTGTGCCACCAAACAAAAATGGGATGCAAAAGATGCACGATAACAAAAAAATAGAACAGTTAAAAAAAAACTTGATGCCAAAACAGAGTTTAAAAAAGAGTCCGAAAATAAATTAAGCCTTCCGTTAAAAAAAAGACGTTATAAAAAAGCAGCAAAAAGAAAGGTAGAGGATATAAGAAAAACAAGATAGGAATTTAGAGCTGCTCCAGAGAAAGAAAAGAAGGCAATAGATTGACTTTGGTCGTAGCTTAGTCAACACATAACTTGTGGTGTGTTTTTCAGAAGCGATGGAGCGGGTTCTTGATTGGATTGGATCCTTACCAAACTGCGGAGGTGAGCCTCGTCCCAGATGGAGTCCAAGTCCGCGGTCGGGTCCGACGCGGATCCGTTGGTGACCTGGAAGCCAAGCAAAATAGAGTTAATGTCACTTCGACCCAAAAGTTCTGCGGGGGAGAACAGAAATGAAACAACAGCAGCGCCCATAGAGCCGCCGTACCGCCATGCCAGCGGGGCCGCCGTGCCACATGGCCGGCCACTGCGCTGCCCAGCCAGCTCGACGTCCACGACACAATGAGGCACATCGCCCGCGAGGCCCGGAGCGAGGACTTCCGCCTCCCCTCCCCCCTTCCCCCGGGGGGCTCCGGTCGCGTGAGCTCGCCACGCACTTAACCCCCAACCGAGGGGGTGGCGGGCGGGTCACGGTCACCATGCACCCCTCCCCCAGCGCACCCCGGTGCGTGCTCGGCTCGCCTCCTAGTTCCGCTTTCTGCGCGCGGCGCCGCTGCCGGGCGCGAGCATCACGCCGCGTACAGCCGTCACGCATGACCCGCGGCAGGCCCACAGAGAGCCCACAGCCCGCGGCGTGGCGGGGCCGGCGGGGCCACTAAACTGCAGCGGCGGTGGCAGCGGGCGCGGCGATGCACTGCCGGCCCCGCCGCCCCGCCGCGCCGCTGCTCCGCCCCATATTCCCCGTCGGCACTGCGGCGTGGCGCCGCTGCACCTCGAAAATAGAACGGCGGCGGTTGTCCGGCTCGCGCCCGGCCCGGCCCGGCCGGCGTGCCTGCTGGGCGGATGGGCGCTCGCACGCATTCCCACGCGCCCCGCGAACGAGGAAACTAATAAGCACGTGGCGCAGAGAGGCGGCGGCAGTCGATCCGATCGGCCGCCGGGCCCGGGCGCTACCCCTCGCGGCGCCACCGCCCGGCGGCGCTACCCCTAGCGGCCGGCAGACACAACGACCAAAGGTACGGCGAACCGTTTGGGGAAGGGGAGACAAAAGTATCCGAGTTCGTACACGCGCGATCAAAAAAGTAATAACTGTAATTTAGATAATATAATTAGCGCTGGAACAAAGTTTAATTACGATTGTAATCTCATGCGGCAAAGTGAACGCGCGGCAACAAAAGAAGACGAGACGCGCAACCAGAGTGAGACGCGTCACGCCCGCCGCGGACGAAAGTGCAGTCCGAGGCGGGCCTCGAGGCGGGCCTCGGCTCCAGCTCTGCGGGACGCCGCGCACGGCCCGCGCACGCCAGCAGGAGGCGGTGAAGAGGCGCCATGGAAAACGCGCAATAACACTGAGCCCGTCACGTGGTGGCACAGTTGCTCGACGGCTTAGTGTACAGAGAGGTGTGAAAACTTGCACCTGCATAGTGTCGTACGTGGTTCAGACGGTAGTGTAGGAGGAAAGGGGTTGGCACGTCAAGTCCGGCCATCGCGCGGGCGCGGGACGGCGAGCGGCGCAGTCCTCGGTTAGGCTTGGCGCGGCCCGCGGCCCATGGGCGGGCGGACCAAGTTGGGAGGTGCGCGATGAGGCCCTCCGCCCCCTCCCCCGCGGGCCG